GTGTGCCTTTTTGTGGTTTTATGGTTGCGCGTTTGCTGACATATTTCGAAAGACTTGATGCTCTTGGGCTATATGCATACATGATCCACAGAAAGCGACTCACGTCTCATCCCTCCTACACRCAAACACAAAGTATCACACGCACACACAAAATCCAACGGAACAGTCTGGCATTTTTTTTTGTGCAGGCGTGTACAACACACACAGACACACACACCCACAAACACAAACAGACGAAAATTTACTCAATCAGAAATATCCTGCCTTTCCTTCATCTTTGCTAACAGAAAAGGGGCAATCTTTCGTTCAGTGTAAGTGACCTACAACCGAAAGCCCCAGGCCTTCTTTCTGATGCACATAGGAGATGGAGCCCCAATGTATTTCCATGTCTTCATATCCACGTATCATGCACCAAGCACCTTATATAGATGTACATACTTGAAAAGACAGGAAGAGCCATAGCTCGCTAGCTCTCGACCTCGCTGCCTCGCTCCCTCCCTTCCTCCCTCGTTCGCTCGCTCGCTAGTGTGTGTGTGTGTGTGTGTGTGTGTGGAGAGAGAGAGAGAGAGAGAGAGAGAAAGCAAGCGAGAGAGAGAGAGAGAGAGAGAGAGAGAGAGAGAGAGAGAGAGAGAGAGAGAGAGAGAACCGAAAATCCCAGGTCTTCTTTCGGATGCAAATAGGAGGTGGAACCCCCAGCACCCCTTATATTATTAAGTTATATATAGATGTACATAAGTGTAAGGACAGGCAGAGCCATAGCTCGCTCGCTCTCGACCTCGCTGCCTCGCTCCCTCCCTTCCTCCCTCGTTCGCGCGCTCGCTAGCGTGTGTGTGCGTGGGGGGGAGAGAGAGAGAGAGAGAGAGAGAGAGAGAGAGAGAGAGAGAGAGAGAGAGAGAGAGAGAGAGAGACCGAAAACCGAAAATCCCAGGTATTCTTTCGGATGCAAAAAGGAGGTGGAGCCCCAATGTCTTCTAATGTCTCCATCATATCCACTTATCATGCACTCAACACCCCGTATACATACACTTACATAAGTGTACAGACAGAGAGAGCCATAGCACGCTCCCTCGTTCCCTCCCTTTCCCCCTCGTACGCTCGCTCGCTAGCGGGGAGAGAGAGAGAGAGAGAGAGAGAGAGAGAGAGAGAGAGAGAGAGAGAGAGAGAGAGAGAGAGAGAGGCTGATGAAGAGAAACATGCGATTTTCTCCTACAAGGCTACGGCCCTGTCACTCTTGTATACTCGATGGCCTGGAACGAAACCCGTCGAGCCTGCGTTTGGCTGGTATCCTGCACCACTTGGACGGAGATGGGGCTAGTGACGGGCACTCTGCTTCTGCCAAGGGCGCCTGTGATCGGGAGATTCAGATTCACGGACATGGAGGATGGCCCCCCCAGTATGCTGAACAGGGACGTCACGTAGTTTGGATTTCCAGATCTTGGGGTGTCGACCGTCGCGTCGGGCTGATTGATGAACACGTGTAAGACGAGCGGCCGGCTAGCGTCGAACCGCAGCTGTTGCAGCCTGATAAGCGGGCGAGCCGTCGATTCGGGGCCAGACAAGGGCGAGCTCAGAGCTACAGACACGCGGTCGTTCTCACTCGCAAGCACCACCGGCCCTGAGTTCGTGGACAAGCTAACATTAGAAAGAGGTGGAGAGGGGGGGGGAGCTGTCTGCAACAGAAGTCGAGACATGCGCCTACGTGCAGTTACCCACGTGTTCGTCACAGCCTGGTACGAGTACCTAAGATTGCCCGACGTGCTCAGCACATCTCTCACACGTATCGTCCTGGCCCTCGCGTTCTCGTCGTAGAAGGTGTAGGCGGAATCGAGCCAGGCCGTGCTGGTGGGGTTTGCGCGGATCCCGGAGAGTCCCAGCCACACGCTCCACAGACGGTCGACGTTGGCATGATGGGCGTAAAAGATGGGGTCCAAKGAAGCCCACTCCAGCCGASCCATCTCACGGCCGTCAAGAGGTCGGCCAACTGCATTGTGTACCCCGTTGTGACTGGTCCACTCCAGACTCCCGGGATTCCCATTTGTCGACCCGCCGAAGAACGTCGACTGGCCAGCATCGCGGACATTCGTTCTCATGATCTCCGTAGTCGTCGCTWGTAGAACGCCGTTGGYKATGCTGGTTGYTGAGGCACGATTGGSTGTGTACAAGGAGGAGTTGGTGGCTCTGAAAGCCGCTGGGAAAGCACGACCGGTACTRCTGTCCCAGTTCCAGAACCCCAGCGCGAATGCGCTGTCTCCCGAGGCCCAYGCCAGGATCCTCTCGTGGTAGTAGAGGTACATCCTGTGCCATGGCAGGAAGTACCAATTGCTGTGCACCTGGAAGGCGTCTCCGTAGGCTGGGGGAAAGGAGCAGAATGCGCAGTGTGTCCTCCTCTGCTGCTCCAGACTGCGCGGATCCGAGCTGTTCAAGCTGCGCAGCCTTCTGTAGGCGGCATTGATCCGCGTSACGTACGTCGTGCTCTGCAGGGCGGTCTGCAGAGCTTGCCGAGTGTGCAGCGGAATGGAGTTGTTGACTGCAAATGCAGTGGCTGCGACGGTCGGACGGACCATGCAGCAGTCGGCAGCCTGGCCGCAAGTAGACAGATTGGGAGGGCCGATTTGCGCTGCGACCCTCCATCGCGCCTGACCTCCGGAGTTGCTGCTGCTGCTGAGGATTGCCACCACCATAGCCAGCATGAGGAGGACCATGCGGCTGCTCTGTTGACGGAGCAGAGAACCGAGCAGAGGGCTTCGAACCGGCCCGACGCCGGAGCGTGCCACTCTTCTCTGTGTCACCATATCTTCACGGCAGCTGTTCCCTGACGTGGCAGATGCGTGGTTCCGTACGACAGACTGCAGATGACGCGTGGCAAGAGGGTTGTCATCCCCTCGGTGGCCAGATTGTCGTCTCTCCATCTCCCTTTCTCCCATCAGCCGCGAGCCACCAATCATACGGTAGACATCAACTGGCAAGGCTTCAGCGAGTTCCTCTGGAGCAATAGCAACAGCAAGAGGAGGATGTCCGCCTTCCTCCCTCCTCCAACGTGCAAAAACGACACTGATCCCACAGCCTGAGGGCCTGCAGCGTATGCCCACCCACGCCGGTGTAAGGACATCCCTCGGTCGCCGCCTCGACCAGGTCACATGGTGTTTAGAAAAGAAGCCGGCTTTATTTATTTGCGAAGCCCGCAAGCACAACTCTCTCTCACAGCGTTCAAGAGAACAGCTCAGTCTCTGTAGATCGGCCTTTCAACCGAACAGCTATCACCTATGGAAATGGTTGGGGGGGGAGGGGGAGGGGAGGAATTAAAAAGATAGACCGTTTAAGGGGGGTTGGAGCGTCGCTTTCTTCTGACAGACCGGAAGATGCAGAGGGGTCTTGAGGGTAAGGGCAAGGGCCGCGGAGCAGTGAATGGGGTTAGCCAGGGCGTACTTGCACAGCTCGCCATCCGCCATCATTTTGAATGCATCCGGGAAACGCATCTGGACAATATTCTGCCCACATGCATTCAGAACTTCGGCGGCTGGCGAGTAGTGCAACGAGTCTTAGGCTTGGATCCCACAACGCATTTCGAACAATAACACGAACAAGTCCCTGGAAAGCAGGCACCTTGGCGTTCGGCCCGTATAATTTTTATTTTTTTTCCGAATCCCACCCCCGTGCGTCGAGGAGGTGTGGCCGAAAGCGGTGGTCGTGCCAGAGGCCTGTGGATTTCTATTGGCCCTGTCCAAAAAAAAATACAGAACTTCATTCGGCCTGCGGCTATTTGGACGGCTGGCGGCTATTTGGACGGCTGGCGGCCTTTTGCAAACAGCCTTCTATTGACCCTGTCCAAAAGAAAAACAGAACTTCATAAGGGAAGCGGCTGGCGGCTATTTGGAAAATCGTTGGGTTCTTCGGGATATCAGTAAAAATTGGAAGCATACAGAGAAGATTAACAACAACTCTTTTTTTTGGATTTTTTTTGTCCAGTTGATGTAGCTCGGTGGTTATAGCACCCGTTGGAAATGCTCATTATGGTGTAACGTGGCAGGTTCAAAACCCCCCACCCTTGCGCGTGGACACGCGTTAGAATGATGCACAGCTGGACACACACACCCTTGGGCTACGAAGTGGTCCTTCGTAGGTAGCTTTCCACTAGGGACAATAGTCCCGAACCCCATCCCAACGGGGAGAGGCGAAATGTTGTCGAAAGTTTTTGTAAATTCACAATAATTATTTTAATCGCCGATAAATCGTGTTAAATTCACAATAATTATTTTAATCGCCGATAAATCGTGAAAATCGGCGAACCGTAGTTAAATTCCACCCTTAACAACTGTAAAATAAGAAATGGAATTATTTTCACTTCCTTAGAATTTTTCCTAATTAATATTAGATAAAATCTAGAAATTGTGGAAAAGGGGGTTACAAGGGCCAGAAGTCAGTGACAAATTGTGGTCGGCACCTAACTCGGGGTCTCTCGCTATATGAAAAAGAAAAAGGATTTTTTCTAAAATTAATCGAATTTTCGTGAATTAATTGATTATAAATTGAAAGAAATTCCTAAGTAAGTGCAGAGAGAAGTCGGAACTCGTCTCAATTTTTCTTTTGTGTTATTACCTAAGCCCTAAGCCCTGGGGTAGGGATAGACCCAAAATTTAGTCTTTTTTGAATATTTTATTAATTAAAGTTCTAAAAATTCATTAAAAATCCTAAAGATGGCTTAATAGATTTCTTATTTGGAGGTGACTTTCACTGGTCAGGAGGGCGCTAGACAGGTATACAGGGCGAGTTCCCTCGAGGGGACTCGAGTGGGAGACGTAGGAGCCCTGTTCGAGCCGGGAGTTCAGTGCCCCTCACGTCTAGGATACATCTGATTGGATGTGGCGGCTCGAGGACGTTGAGGTGTATGAGGTCGATCGTGCCTGGACGGTAGAACCCCCCGAGCTTTTAGTGGAGTTCACGCTCCCCGCTCGATCTACTCACTGGCACGACGGCCAGTTCCGGTGGAGGTCTGTCCTCTTGTCCTCCGGTGCTTGGCTGTGGACGTACAGAGAGCACCAGAGGGGGGAGGAGGGAGACCTGGCGGGCAGGTTAGTGAAAGCCTATCTGTACCTGGGGGTAGAGACGGCCAAGGAGGTTGCTTTGGGTTTTGTGACGTGGGGGACCAGTTGTGTCATCAGTAAAGCCCTACGGTATATACAGGAGGAGATTGACGCGTTTCGGGCAGACGACGAGCAAGACCCGTTGACCTTGTTTCTCAGACGACCTCCCCTCACTATCACGGGGGATCTCCTGATAGCACGAGACAAATTTTTTCCATATTCAGGGACTAGCTTGAGAGCGGTTGTCCCCGCTTTCGTGGTAGACTCAGTTTTCGGAGGAGTGGGAGGCTTGGTTGAGGCTTACCTCACATTCAGAGAGCTCGAGCTCTTCGCCAGAGGATACCTCGACACTTGCTATATATACTACTCCCTCACGACCGCAGGACCTCGCTGGGGGAACGAGAGGGTTCAACTCATAGAGCTGATCCGCTCCTTAGGATACGATTACGAGAGGGGCGTGCCCCCGCCCTCGTACGTATGGGACCTGTTGGACCAGGAGCTCAAGGTTGGGCCTGAGTATATTACCTACATAGGTAGGCTCTTCTCGGAGGACTGGACCAGCTGGTGGAGTGAGGACGCGAGCCCCCTGATATACGACTACCAGTTGACGCGGTATTATCAAGCGATAGGGCTCCCTCCGTACCGCATAGAGGACAAGTCAGACGACGACGAGTGGGTTAAGGACGACGACGAGGAGAACTGGGAGCCTGACTGGGTCAACTCTGAGGATGAGGGCGCTGAGTCGGGAGAGGAGCTCGACATCATCGGCGCTCCCTTCCTGAGGATAGGAGTCGCCATCAGGGCCTAGGCGAGACCGGGCAGAGCGACGCGTATCGGAGGCAGACCTATAGTACAAGACCGGAAAGGTGGAGGTTGAGCGGAGCCAACCCCCCGTGCTAGGCAACCATTGAGCACGATCAGATGGTAGAGTCAGTTGACAGAATTGAACTCCCGATTGATAATCTTAGATGGCTTAGGGCTCCCGAGATCGTGGCACTTGACAGACTAGAACTTCCGGCCAAGGGTGTGGATAGGGTTGGACATCAGAGTCGGTGAAGGTCGATTCTGCTAGGCCAGGCGTATACTTGTGGGTATACATGGTAGAGACTTTCGAGTCAGATAGTCAACGGTGGCGAGCACCCGAGACGACGAGTATTGAGGCTATAGGACACATCTACTACTCACAGTCAATACAGGCGACCATCTATTTTGAGGGGCTGGTGCATGATCACTGTCGCGGCGAGCAGGAGGCGAGAACTATCCTGTTAGCACAGGCGGAGGCTGCTCGAGAGGAGGTTGAGGGATTGCACGGTCCAGCTAGGGCAACAAGGACGACTTTCCGAATCGGTGGGAGTTTTCCATTCCCCAGCATTCCACTGCGGGTGACAGTCTCGATTTTTGTAGCAGAGGAGCTCTAGGGCTTGGGCCACGTTGTCGAAACTTAATTTGCTACTCTCGAGTTAGAGGGCTTGACCAGGAGGTTGACGGACCGAGATTGGGTTGCCTATGCACAGTTTATCGGGGGGCCTCTCGTTGGGGAAAGAGGGTTCCAGCTCGTAGAGTTCATTCGAGCCCTAGTACCGTCTGAGGGTCGCAAGTCGTATTTTTCATGCCAGCCTTCGGAGTTATGGTTAGCATTGGAGAGAGAGGTTCGGAGACCCCCAGACTACTTAGCGGGAGTAGGACAGCTCCTGAGCGAGACTCATGACGAGAGACCTGCTCCTTTTATCTCGATCTGGGAGGCTGAGGAGCATTATCGACGGATATACCTCGATCGGGAGGACCTTGGCTGGTATGCTGACGATAGAGAGTGAGGCGATTTCGACGATGTAGAGCCTTGGGGAGTCCAGGACCAGGGTTGGGGAGACTTGGAGTTAGAAGCACATCGAGATGATCAAGAAGACGGGGAGGATGGCCGCATAGGCAGTGAGATGCCATATGAGGATTGTTGGGGACACCTCCACCGGGCCGAGGGGCAGGAGAATATCCCTTGGGGGCGCGAGATAGGTGAGGATGGAGATGTGGATATGCTAGACGCGGATGAGGTTCAGTGACGGAGGCGACGCGTATGTTCTCAACACCAGGGGACGAAGCACATAGGACCGAGGTAGTCGTAGATTTAGAGCATAAGTGTTATGTGAAAGGAAAAAGAAGTTAGGAGAGAGGTAGAGACGATGGTGAGGATTATAGATGGGCAGACAAGTGATGTCCTTTAGACGGGTATATTGGGAGCAGTTAATCACCGAGGGGCGAGGCCCTACAAAAGAGGAAATTAATGACGTCATACGATCCCTGAACGAGAAGACAAGGAGAAAGGTTCTCCCATACGAGCTCGTTACTTACAAGTATGTTCAGGGAGGAGGTATAGATCACCGACGCGTGTACATTCTTACATACCGCTTCGTTAACCTTGATGAGTACGACATGAGGATTTACGTTTCTGCGACCCGGGCAAGGTCGTATCTGAGCGAGAGAGCTTGGAACAGCGCGTTTGGATTCATGATAGGAGAGGTGTACCGCTTGGAATAAGAAGGTAAGACAATTAGTTGGCATACATGTATCGAAGTGTTCGAAGAGATTCCAGTTCCTCCGGTTACAGGGAAGAACCTATCTAGGTATGGATGACACGAGATGATAGAGTTTGTCACACGGATTAGAGATCAGGGACATTCACACTTGCATCGATGAGGCGGAATGGTGATGAGGAGTCGCTCGGGCGTATGGTTGGCTTACGTCCTAACACGCGATTCGGACTCCTATAGAGTGAGAAAACTGATAGGACCGAGGGAGACGACTGTGGGATACGATATCCCTCTTCCGGTGCGCTTAGAGGATATAACGAGCGTACTGATCCGGCACTTTGGTACTTGGTTGGCTAGGGGCGTCTTCTTGTGGACGGTAGTCTTAGAGGATAGAGGTTTTGATATCCCTCGATGACTGGAAGGAATATGACATCTTGTGTTTGACAAAACACGAGACCTTGAGATAGGGCTAACACTCGCCGGTGTTAACAAGGACTGGTGGAAGTACGAGGTCTTAG